CATAATGTGGCTGTCGCCTCAGCACCGCGCGTCTTGATTTTGAAAACATACAACAATTTCACGGATGGAAGCCGGGCCGTTTTCAACATGTAGCTTTCGCCTTAGCGCCGCGCACATTCGTCGTAAAGTTTGCAAAAAGAGTCACGGATGGAGGGCGGGTCGTTTTCACAATGTTGCTTTCGCCTTAGCGCCGCGGCATTCGTCTTAAAAGCTTGCAACTGTTTTACCGATGAAGGGCGACTCTTTTTCAAAATTTGGCTCTCGCCTCCTCGCTGGGCCCATTTGCTTTAAAAGTTTGCCACAGCTTCAAGATGTTTCAAGGCTTCGCATGGTCGAAGTCCCAGAAATGGTGTTCTGGCAAGGTACAGCTCGTTAGAATGCAATTGAAGTCCCCGGAATGGTGTTCTGGCACGGCTTAGTTTTGTCAGGACTCAACAATCACGTTGACTCCCGACATTGAAGTCCCAGAAATGATTCTTAGGCACGATTGAGGACTCTCAGACGTTTGCTTTCCAATGAGGTATTTCCCGCAATGCAAATGAATTCTTGTAGGGCCCTGTGAAGAGGGAACTTGGAGGGAGGGTGTATGGCAACATCGCTGATGCGTCTTGGGGTTACACTGGTGCCAGCCCTCCTCCTCCTCCTCCTCCTCCTCCTCCTCCTCCCGCCTCTTCCTCCTCCTCCTCCTCCTGCTCCCGCCTCCGCTGCCCCCGCGCTTCCGGCACGGAAGGCAAGAGGAAAGGGCAGGAGGAAGAGAAACGAGAGACGGAAGAGAGAGAGTGGGGAGGAACGCCCCTCCTCCGCGCAACCTCCCCGACTGCAGTGAGGCGTGCCTAGATCCCGACCGTGGAATGCAAGCTCCACGGTGACTAATTATTACGCACGGGGAAACGCGCGCAAGGCCAGAGTCTGAAAGAAGCCCCGTGGGGAGCTCTCCTCCTCTGCCTCCGCCTCCTTGTCTCTGTCTCTGTCTCTGTCTCCGTCTCTGTCTCTGTCTCTGCTTCCTCCTCCTCCTCCTCCTCCTCCTCTCATCCAACAATCCGTCAGTTCACCCCGCTCCGTCCTGTGCTGGGGTCCTGTTGAAGCATGCCTGGATCGCCAACTCTGATTCGTGGCACGGGCAAAAATGGATGGCTCGCCAAGGAAAATACGGCTAAGACGTCCAACAGGGACGCGTGATACAACGTTTTACTACCCTGTCCGCCACCCACCAGGGAAACCTTGGCACCGCTGCCCGACCTACCCGCCCTGGGTGACTATGCTTGCCCTCCGCTTCGGGCTTCGCGGCGCCGACACCCCTCTTTAGAGGGGGCACGCTGCGCAAGCCAATGTATCCTGTTCGGGCGGGAGTGGGGATGAGCCTCACGATGATAAATCGATTCGGCGCTTTGAAAACCTACCCAATTCGCGCTGGCTGCCGGAGTGCGCTCACCGGCACGGCCGATGCCTGTGCCCTGTGACCTGACGAGCCTCTCGGGGAGAGCTCGGTAGAGCCGTCCGCCAAGGCTGCCAGGAGTCCCCGAAGAGGCCCCCCTGCAGGCCCCAAGAGGCACCCGAGTGCTCCAACAGGCCCCCGTTAAGCCACCCAAGAAGTCTCAAAGAACCCCCCAACGAACAACGCAACATCCATGCGTGGTTACGGCCACGCCACGCTACAGCATGGCTCCGCTGCTGTCCAAACGGCCCCAAGATGTTTCTACCGAACCTGTTCGGGAGAGCTCTTCCGTATTACCATCGCGCGCAGACGGCCCCCAGCGCATGCTGCGGGCTCGTGGGAATTCGCAGAACCACGAGCCTCTTCGGACGAGCCCCTCTGACATTCTGGCAACTTTCTGGCACAATGGCATTATGTGCTGCAGGTTTGAAGAAATTGCGCAGCCCCAGCGTCGAACCCGACATTCACTGCACGCTTGCGTGTCTCACGTGCTGGGCTTGTTTGCGACCCTAGAGGAACAACAAAAAACAACGTAAACGTAATCCCACCAGCCCTCTGGGCGTAGGCGGTTAACGGATTGTCCTTCCCTTTCTGCCAAATCCCATCCTCCCCTTGTTCGGCGGAGGGTTCATCATTGTTCCCTACTGATACACACTCCCTCCCCCACCCGGCCCGCGGCCAACCCGGAACCATGACAACCCCATGAAGGCCAACGCCCCCACCATCCCTTTCAAAAAACAATACAAGACGCTCGCTGCTTCAACATTTGGAACATGCGCGGCCGCCCCGCGACCATTTTGTATGGTTTTTTTTACAAGGACGGCTGGGGTGCCAGCGAATTCCACCTGCCTTCTGGGCGCAGGTGGCCGACCGACTGGTTTGACACATCAGTGGCTGCTGCCTGTTCGCCTTACCGTTTCCGGTGGGATTCCGAAACGTCCGCATGGCTTCAAAATTGGCCAAGGAAGCTCAAAGCTGGGCCGAAGAGCCCCTGTTGGTTCCCAGTGGCTGGCGCACCTGGCGCGGCTGGGGCACGTGAAACACTGGGCGCACGTGGAGCACGTGCCGAACGTGGCGCGCCTGGCACGCTGGGGCTTCCAGGGTCTGGTGCATGTGGAACCCGTGGCGTCTGCGGCGTTCGCAGGAGATGTGCTGACTCCCGGGCGTTGCGTATGTGTCGGGAGGTGCATTGGGAGGGCGGGTAGGAGTGAGCAAGACGGCTTGCGGGCGGGTGGGAAGTTCGACCCCTCCCCCTACCCCCTCCCCTGGGCCTGGGAAGGGCGGAGGGCGCGGGTAGTCGCCTTTTCGCTTCCGATGGGCTCCTAAGGCCTCAAAATGGCCCCAGAGAGCCCAGGAGGAAACCAAGAGGGCCCCAAGAGCGCCCCAAGACGCCATTTTTGAGCCTCTGAGGGCGGGGCCTGATTGAGGACCCCCCTCTTCTTGAACAGTGAGCCCAAAATTGCCTCAAGAAGCCTCCCAGACCCCCAAAAGAGTTCCAGGAAGGCCCAAGACCCCAAAAAAACCCAACAGGGCCCCGAGGGTGCCCCAACTGGCTCCGAGACTCCGAGACCTCCGAGAACACATGTCCAAGGCGGCTGCTACACTGCATGCTTCTAAACTTCCTTGATCAAGGCAACTCGCCTGGCGACCTGCGTATGGATGGGTTGGCATGGATACTTTTTGATTGCGAGTGACGCGCCGTCAACAGGGTCGATCAGCGGAAAATTGAACAGGCCACTACGCGGGCAGCGCAAGTGGAACGAAGACAGCACGAGGCGATATAGGGAGAAACGGGACAAGACATAACAAAAAGCGAAGAGAAAAGAAAACACAACAGAGAAAGAGGAAACGCGCCGCAGCTCATGCTCAAGCCAAGAAGTAGACGAAAGCCCCTTGCCGAAGAGCCGGAACTTGTAGTAGAGCGTCGTGCTCGGGCCAAAGCACACAACTGTGGTGCCACAGAGTGGCCACCGGAGCGAGAAGGTGAAGGCTGGTAGGGATACTTTTTTTGGTCGCGGCCACGAGACAAGGGTCAGGCGGCGAAGGCAACGTCCGGGCCACGGGCGAGCTGGTAGGGATACTTGTTTTTTATTATTATTATTATTTTTTTCTACAGCCGCAGGCGGAAGCGCCAGCGGCGGGAGGTCGCGAACGGGCCGCGGACGCGACTAAATTACCTAACGCGCGCGGGCCGCGGATCAGGCGGCTCACGAAAGCGTCCAGGGCGGCGGAGCCAATGCAATCCAGGAGCGGAAAAACTGGTAGGGATACGCGAAGCGTCAAGAATTTCTTGAAGGTCGATGCGGATCTCTTGGATCGCCGCCGGACATCACCCGGGCGACTTCAACATAGGAGCCATGCGGTGCCATCCAGAAAGAGAGCAATCCTGGGGAGCGCCGGGGAACCCAGGGGGCTCGGCTTCCGCGGAAGAAAGAAAGACATCCTTGGCGAGGGGTTCGGGCACAGAGGTTATCCCTGCCTAAATCGCCGGACGATGAATGAACTCTCAGACGCGGGGGTGCTGGCGCACGGGGTCCCACCCCCCCAGCGCAACCAGAGGAAATGTGCGAGAGCCTAGACTCAGATTGTAAATGTAATGCAGCATCACTCTAATAGTAGTTGTGCTGGGGAAATGTGCTAGTATTACTTGCTCCGTATTCCTTGATCGCGATTATATTATGCATTCGTGCCTCCAAGTCGCGATCCTATAGTTTTGTCCTGATTCCTAAGTCAGAAGTCGATATACTGTTTCCTTAAAACCCTCAATCGCAACTCGAGAATACTAGTTGTACTGCATGACCAGGGGCCCTCTAGGAGCAGCTGCGCCCTAGCACACGATGGTGCCAGTTGTACTCAAGTACTAGGTGCACTCGAGCTGGAGGGGTTCAGGGGTTCCAGCGGCAATACCCGCTCGGAAGAAGGAAACAAATCCATGCGCCGCCAAGGGTCCCGGATTTACCGACTCGACGCAAACGTGGACCCCCGCGGAAGAAAGAAAAGAAATCTGGCTGTGGGTTTAGTGGGTTCAGGCATGAGTCGCGCGCGGGGGCGAAGGCCATACCCCCCTCGTTGGCGCGCAGAGCGCGCCAGTGGCGGCGCCACAGGCGGCGTCGGAGGGGCCCAGCGCCGATCCACGAAATGCGCGCGGAGATTCGAAAGTTCGCTGCTTATGCCGCTCTTTCGTCTTCGACCAGCGGCGAACCCAATGCTTTCTACATGCTTGCGTTGTGGATGCCACGACAATGGACACCCTAACAGTCCTATCATTGAAATTTAAAAGTGTTTAAAATGTGAGAAAAATGTTCGAAACATGTTTTAAACATGCCGTTTACATGTTTGGAACATGTTTAACACATGTTGTACTGGACATATGGAAATTATTTGGCAACATGCTTCCTCTCCATTGATCGTCCTCCACAACGCTTGCGTGTCTCACGTGCTCGGCTGCTTCGCGACCCCCGTGGCCATGCGAGCTGGCGCCACAAGCGCCTGCTGGCGCAGCCGCGGAGACCACCTCCTCGCGCACGCCTCCTCTCCGCGTAGCCCCTCTCGGCTCGGCCGCTGCCTGCTGGCCGGTGGGGCGGCGGCGGGCCAGCAGCTCGGGGCATGCAGGGGCCCACGAGGGCAGGACCGGTCAGTCGGGTCGAATCGGTAAGTCGGGTCGAATCGAAATGGGCATGGCACGGAGTCGAGATCGAGTCGGATCGGCTGCACCAGGATGCACAACAGTGCAATGTGAACGTCTGGTCGCATCTGATTGTCATGAAGCCGAAAGCGAACTGAATCGACCTGTGCGAAATCGATATCGAGTCGGATCGAAATGGACCCTGCGAGGGTGGTTGGTGCCACTCGGCTGCCCCCCCTCTCCTCCTTTACTTCCCTCCCCTCCCCTCCCCTCCCACCTCCACCTACGAGCACGCCAATTATGCACCTACACCGATTCTGGCCGGGCCCATCCTGGGTCCAGGCTCGGTGTGGTTGTAGAGCTGGCGCCCTCCGATTCCCCACCATCCGCCCCACTCCACTCCACCAAAGGATGGCGAAAGCCGCCACCCCTGTGTCAGGGGCCCCAGAAAGTGCGGTGACCACATCGCGTGGTGAGTCAGTGGGGATTCGGGGACACCACGCAGTTTGGGAAGTCCTGTCGTTCTCCGAGGACGTCTCGAGCGACTGGGGCCTCGGTGCAGTTCTCTCCCTGGAGTCCTCCCGTGATCAATGGGAAACCGAGTCCCCAAACTGTCTGGTGATCACTCCGACAGGTGACCGAAAGCTTAAAGGTGATCAGGAGTAGAGATCCCCCAAATGGGACCCGAGTAGATGGGGTCGAAGGATCGCGCCGCATCGCTGATGCATCGGCGACACCTGCGTGGAGAAAGTCGGGCTCCTCATCGAATTGCATCGCCGATACATCGGCGACGCAGCTGTGATGCGGCGCGGTCCACCGACCCCGTCTACTCGGACCCCACTCGGGAAGCCTGGAAATGAGAGGACAGTTTTGAGGCCCGTGCTGTTCTCCGAGGATGTCTCGCGCGCCTGGGGCCTCTCCAGAGCCCCGAGGATGTCCCGTGGCAGACCGCCTGGTGAGGTCTCCAGGATTCCGAGGGCACCGTGCCTTGTGTCTTGTGCCACCAGGCGGTGATGCACTGCGCCCTTCACTGTGCGCCCTGACTGCACGAAGAGATCTGGGGCGGCGACGTCTATACACCTACACCGTTCGTGGCCAGGCCGATCCGGGGGCCAAGCTCGGACAACATCCCCCCTGGCACACCCTCCTACTACCCTCGTCAAATTTACCTCAAAAATGGCGACCACGCCCCTGCGATGTCGGCGCGCCCTTCAATGTCGATAGACGCCCCTCCAATGTCGCGGCCAGGGCAAAAGAGGTCTGACCAGGAACGACTCGGAAGTTCGATGGTGACCGATATTGGAGGGGCGGCGCACACAAGTACCTCGCAGTCACCGCTACTCTGTCCAGTATCTCCCCACAAACAGTTCAGCCACGTAAGACATTTTTGAAGTTAATTTTGACGAGGGTTGTAGATGGGGTCCGATAAGGTGGGGTCGGAGGATCGCGTCGCATCGCCCATGCATCGCCGATGCATCGGCGATGCATCGGCGACGTCGGCGGTGCACCGGCGCCATCGGCGTGAAGGCACTCTGGCTCCGCATCGAGCCGCGTCGTCGATGCGCAGCGATGCTTCGACCCCATCTACGCATCGACGTGCTCGGACCCCATGTATGAGGCCTGGACGCATCCAGGGCAGCGTGCACACCGATCATGGGCCCAGCATCGGCCTGGCAAGGATCTGTGGCTGACCTCACGTCGCGTGGCGCGCCCCGCAGTGCGCGGCCTCTTTCGCGCCCTCGCGCCGCCGCTCTGGAGCCGGGCAACGTTGCGCTCCAGGCTGCGGGGGGTGCGAAGCGCAGCCCAAAATGAAGGCAGGATGATGTCGGAAGCCTCGAGGTTAACACATCCCGATCGCTGTGATGATGGTCATATTCGGGCTTCCTGGGTGGCCAGAATAATACCACACACGCCAAAATCTGGGATCAGATTCCCCCAGTGGAGGCCCCCCCCGCACATCGCCGTGACGCAATATCATCTGAAAACGACCCGAATTCACCGAAGGGTTACAGCCTAGCCGATCCTGGGATGCTGGTTCCGCACGTGAAGAACCGAGGAGATCAGTGGGCCCGGACCTGGGACAGGCTGAGATCATATATTTTTCGCAAAAAAAAAAGAAGTAAACGTTTCCGACCAAGCTGTAACTTATTATTTCAAGTAGTGGTGGTAATGCTGGTAGTTGTAGTAGTAGTAGTAGTAGTAGTAGTAGTAGTAGTAGTAGTAGTAGTAGTAGTAGTAGTAGTAGTAGTAGTAGTATGTGGTGGTAGTGGTAGTCGTAGTAGTCGTAGTAGTCGTAGTAGTAGGTGGTAGTAGGTGGTAGTAGGTGGTAGTAGGTGGTAGTAGTAGTAGTAGTAGTAGTAGTAGTAGTAGTAGTAGTAGTAGTAGTAGTAGTAGTAGTAGTAGTAGTAGTAGTAGTAGTAGTAGTAGTAGTAGTAGTAGTAGTAGTAGTAGTAGTAGTAGTAGTAGTAGTAGTAGTAGTAGTAGTAGTAGTAGTAGTAGTAGTAGTAGTAGTAGTAGTAATAGTAGTAGTAGTAGTGGTAGTAGTAGTAGCAGCAGCAGCAGAAGTAGTAGAAGTAGTGGTAGTAGTAGTAGTAGTAGTAGTAGTAGTAGTAGTAGTAGTAATAGTAGTAGTAGTAGTAGTAGTAGTAGTAGTAGTAGTAGTAGTAGTAGTAGGAGTAGTAGTAGTGGTAGTAGTAGTAGTAGTAGTAGTAGTAGTAGGGTCACCCGTCGTCTATGGCCAGCCCGTTTATGGCCGGTAGTTCGGTTGGGTTTCTATATAAGTGTGTGCGAAAACCCGATATAAACTACGCGTCCTTCAAATTTGCCTTATGGCCGGCACGCTGTGAGGAATCCTAAGGAATTCTCGAAGAATCCTCTGGAATTCTCCAGGACACCTAAGGAATTCCCCAGGAATCCTAAGGAATTCTCTAGGAATCCTCAGGAATTCCGAGGAATTCATCAGGAATCCTAAGGACATCTCTTGGCATCATAAGGAATTCTTCAGGAATCCCAAGGAAGCCTGCAAGATACCTAAGGATTTTGCCACGAAACTTCCAGGAATCCGAAGGAATGCTCGGGAATCCTGAAAGAATGATAAGGAAATCCTCCGGAATCCTTAGGAATCCCTGCGGAATCCCAAGGAAGCCTCCACGAAACCTAAGGAATTCTCCAGAATCTCAAGGAAGTCTCCAGGAATCCCAAGGAATTCTTCAGGAATCCTAAGGAATGTGAAAGGAATCCTTAGGAATTCTTCAGGAAGCCTAAGGAATTCAACAGGAACCCTAAGGAATCTCAGAGGATTCCGAAGGAATCTCGGCGGAATCCGAAGGAGTCTCAGCGGAATCCTATTGAATTCACCAGGAATTCTTAGGAAACCTCCAGGAATCTGAAGGAATCCTCGACGAAGCCTAAGGATTCCTTGAAATTCCATAGGAATTCTCCTGGAATCCTGAAGAATTCGTGAGGATTCCTTGGGAATTCTCCAAGAATCCTAAGGAAGTCTCCAGGAATCCTAAGGAAGTCTCCAGGAATCCAGAGGAAGTCTCCAGGAATCCTAAGGAAGTCTCCAGGAATCCTAAGGAATTCTTGAGGAACCCAAAGGAATGCTCAAGGAATCCAAAGTCTTGGTGAATCCTAAGGCTTCCTCTGTGAATCCTAAGAACTTACCCCGAAGATTCCTAAGGAAGTCTCGAGGAGTCCTTAGGAATTCTCGAGACTGAGTACGCGCGTGGAGTTGAGGTAGCTCCGCAAGAGAGGAGATCACAGAAACCAATGTTTTCATTAGAAAACGAATGAAAACCATTGGTCTCCAATCGTAAACTCATTAGAACCAATTGGTTTCCCTAATTAAAGCCATTGGTTTCCTGAGAGAACACGAATGACAACCATTGGTTCCCAATGCAAGACGAATAAAAAACCACTGGTCGCACATAGAAGCCTAATAAAACAATTGGTTTCCAATGGGTTCCCAATCGGAAACACATTAAAAAATGTTTCCAATATCGCACTAATACCAACCATTGGTTTCCACCGGAAAACTTATTAAAACCATTGGCTTCCGATTGGAAACTAATCAAAATCATTGGTTGCCAATAGTTTTTACAAAAAGAAAAAACACAAAAACAAGTTTCCCGTAGAAAACAAATGCAAACCGTTGGTTGCCAATGGGAACTAATGAAAACTATTGGTTTCCAATGGACAGCCAATGAAAACAATTGCTTCCCAATAGGAAACTAATAGAAACAATTGGTTTCCAATCGAGAAATAATTAACACCATTGGTTTCGAATAGAAAACTAATTAAAACCATTGCCACCCAATGGGAAACTAATAAAAACCATTGGTTTCCAATAGACAACTAATTAAAACAGTTGGTTTTCAATAGAAAACTATTCAAAACAGCTCCCAATAGGAAACTTATATATATACACACACGTATTGGTTTTCAATAGAAAACGAAGCCAAACTATTGGTTTTCAAAAGAAAACTGACAACAACAATTGGTTCCCAATAGAAGGCTAATAAGAACAATTGGTTTCCTAAAGAAAACTAATTCAAACAATTGGTCTCCAATATGATAAAACTAATGAAAACAATGGGCTTCCAATAGAAAACTAATTAAAACAATGGGTTTCCAATGGAAACGAAAAAAACCCAAACCCAAACCCAAACCCAATCCCAAACCTCACCGGCCATAAATCAAGTGTGACCCTAGTAGTAGTAGTAGTAATAGTAGTAGTAGTAGTAGTAGGTCGTAGTAGTAGTCGTAGTAGTAGTCGTAGTAGTAGTAGAAATAGTAGTAGGAGTAGTAGTAGTAGTAGTAGTAGTAATAGTAAGAGTAGTAGTAGTAGTAGTAGTAGTAGTAGTAGTAGTAGTAGTTAGTAGTAGTAGTAGTAGTAGTAGTCGTAGTAGTAGTAGTAGTAGGAGTAAGAGTAAGAGTAG